AGATAGATAGATAGATAGATAGATAGATAGATAGATAGATAGATAGACAGACAGACAGACAGACAGACAGACAGTCAGTCAGTCAGTCAGTCAGTCAGTAAATAGATGATAGATAGATATTGGTGCTTTTAGAGATGGTATTACAACTGACTTGAGTTTTTGTAAATACTTTAGAAAAGAGGAGAAGGGGACATGCTACAAAGCAAGGGACCAATTTTGAGTGCCATTGTTGTATGTAAAATAGTTTCTTAATCCCAATGCAGCCTAGAATTCTTAGAAACCAATATTTATTTATTTTGTAAATAGCCATGAACTATAGGAGAAGGGAAAGAAAAAGTAGTGAGATTTAAAATAATTAAGAGACACTAAAATATACAAACAACAGTATAATAAAAGTCAGCACAATGAGTAAGTCAAATTGGCAAGGAACAAAGTGTTATGAAAGGTATTTGAATTTTTACACTGCACAGAATGTTGGGATGACATGGAACAAGGCACTCAATAATTGTGAAAAACAGTTTTAAAAAACATGGCAATACTTTATTAAGTAGCCATTAAGCCATATCACAGTAAACAAAATATAAAACAGAACATTAATAAGACTATATGTTAAAAGTAGAAAATAAATCAATAATGAAAATGGAAATCATATTTATTTGTCACCCCCTACAATTTGGCCCAATTCAAGTTCTCAATTGTACTGTTTTGTTCAAATGAAGGGGTGTTAATATATATACAGTAATTTGTTGGATTCAGAACATGCATAAAATATGCTATTTCGATATGATTCCAAGAGGCTGTTCATCTACTGTGCAGTCCAAGATTTTCTCTCATGATTGTCATTAAATAATATATGTTTTTGAACTCAATGGCTTTGCAAATTGAAGCAGGTTCATTATAAGGCAGGGGTCCCCAACCACCGGTCCACGGACCGGTACCGGTCCGCGGAACAAGTCCTACCGGGCCGCTGGTTGCTGGGCGCCGCCATCTTTTTTTGATGAAAAGTGCTTCCGGTGAGCTTTTCCGGGTAGAAAGCTCACCGGAAGCACTTTTTCATCAAAAAAAGATGGCGGCGCCCAGCTGATGCCGGTACCGGGCCGCGGCGCCCAGCTGATGCCGGTACCGGGCCGCGGCATAAAAAAGGTTGGGGATCACTGTTATAAGGGACCTGGTTAAATTTTTCATAGTTAACCATTGCGTCCAAATCCTGTTTGAATAAATACCTTACCCTCCCCAAGGTGTTTGGATGTACCTGTCTTTAAATACTTGATAATCTGGAATGTACTGTTCTAGGATCTCATCCATGTCGATAGGCCAGCCTTACTAAGGATGACTCTATTTCTCTGAGCTTCAAATGTCCAGGATTCTTTGTGCTCCAGAGGCAGTTGAAAAGAAACAAGGAAACCACAATTTGTGATATAATTTATGAATTATATAATCCAAGAAGTCAGTTATTGAGATTTTTTTTTTTCTGTTCTAACAGTCAGAGTTTGGGTTATTGTTTTTGCACCAATAATTGTATGCCCTGATTTCGGACAAAGAACAAATTGTATAAATTCTCAATTTGATTATCACTGCAGCAGCTGGGATCCTTTTATTTACATCCACTTAGCGGGTTATAGAAGGACCTCATCAGTTTCTAATTATCATAGCTGCAGCTAAGAACTTTGAGGCCTCTTAGAAGTTTCAGTGTGGTGATCCTGCAGCAGCTGATATGTAATTACTGACTGCTATCTGTAAGAAAGCTTGCTAATAAGTGGATGATTTGAGATCACAATACCAGGTGTGATATACTATAAGGAACAATATAACACTTGCCAGAGACTTGACCTAGGTGTTTGAATATACACAAGGATGATCCTATAAAAGGAATATTGTAATACTGTATATTCCTCTAGTGAGGAAGGAGCAAAGCATGAAATCACACTAATGTGCCTTTCAATGTGGAATTATCTATCTCGGGGATGTCAAAGTCATGTCGCCACGTCATCATCTATCAGGACATTTTTCCCTTTCGCTAAACTTGGGGGGTGGGGGGCATGGCCAGCATGTGACGCATCCGGCCCGTGAGTTTGACACCTCTGATCTATCTGGTTGAGCATCAAGACACAAAACTTTCCCCTTAAGTTCTGTGTGAACTTTATCTGGATCCATACAACATATAACTAAGGGAATGTAGATAGTCCACAATAATGCAAATCCAAATCTGGTTTTTTTTCCCTCATATAAGTGGTACAACTATTCATGAGTTTAGGTTTGCCCAAAATCTCACCCCAGAATGTTTATCCTAATTAATCCACCACTACCTGTACAGTATCACACGGTGACTTGTAAACAAAACCTCCCAGAACTGCACAACTACAAGACTTCCTTTTATTTGTATATATCTGGATCCAATTAACAATTAACAATAAAAGTATTCATGACATAATACTATTAATATTCATTTAAAATATAAACTGCTCAATAGTTCAATTGAAAAAAAAAACTCCTACCAGATACTGCCCAAAATGTCTCAAAACATCAGAAGAACAGCAATAAACTGAATAATTGAAAAGGAAAAATTATAAGTAGAATTAATACCAGCAAGTTAATATATTTATCAAATAATATTAAACAATAGAAATAAATAATATTAAACAATAGAAATAAAATAAAACCTAAAACAGAAATTAATACATACAAGGCTAAACAGAGCTTCATTTCACAGAGGCAACAGGGGATTCCTAACAATTAATCTAGAAATATTAGTTGGCAGCTAGCCATCCTCCTAGTCCTCACCTGAATCTCCTCTCTCAATCCATTTCCCATCTCTCACCTGGGGAGGTAAAAATGTCAATCTTCCTTCTAGCCCCATGTATGCTTACAATTGTGACATTCCTGAGTCTCTCTCCATCAAGCTTTACAGCGGGAGTCGGGTGGGGGCTTTAAAAGCTCCAAGATGGGGATAAGGGAGGTAGAAATGCCGAGTCCTTTGTTAGTATCCCTCCACAGGTTGCACTGAACAGTGAAGCCAGTATCCTGGCCTGTTGTGGAATCATTCCGCTCACATGGGTAGAGTAGGCCAACATGCAAAGAAAACAATTGTTCAGCAGTGATAATTGGATCCGATACCAGCATTTGAATCAGAGGTGATATTCAGCAGGTTCTGACCAGTTCTGGAGAACCGGTAGCAGAAATTTTGAGTAGTTTGGAGAACCAGCAAATCCCACCTCTGACTGGATATTTTACAGTATCCTTCCCCCTGCCACGCCCACCAAGCCACGCCCACAGAACTGGTAGTAAAAACATTTGAATCCAACCACTGATTAGAATGGTTCCAGTATTTGCAAACGTGTAGCATGGTGTCCATTTCTTACTGATTTACTGAATGCTTTTGCATTATCTAACTATATTTTTACACAAAGGTGCTTTATTTTCGGTATAATCTTTTAGTATGTTCATTGTTCATGTTTCTGTCCTAGAATATCCAGACACCATTATTAATTTATTACCCAGCTTTCCTTGTATGTGGCGTCTCTGTTTAGAGATAATGGGGAAGAGGCTTTATTTGTTCCTACGGCATTCTCTCCATACCCTTCTCTTTCCCTACTGACAGTATTTCTGTAAGCAGAAGGTGGTTCTCATGGGAGAGTTTGTGAGCCTGACTGAGAAAGTTAAAGTACAAATGATTTTAAATGACATTACATCTACAATCTGGCACGCCATGGTCT